CTTCCTTCCTTCCTTCCTTCCTTCCTTCCTTCCTTCCTTCATCTGTCGGTCTATCTGTCTATCTTAACGTATTTAAAATAGAATATTTATAGCTCCAGGTTGAAATGAGAGATCCTGGGTGGCTCTCTGAGCTTGGCTTTTTTGTCCCCTTTCTTTCTTGCAGGCATTTCATTACCCAAATTTTTATCACATCGTCCACACTGACAACGTTACCTAATTTGGGTAAGGAAACGTCTGCAAGAAGAAGAAGAAGAAGAGGAACAAGAAGAAGGAAAAAAAGGAAAAAAAAATACCCCCACAAACTCAGAAAGCACCGAGGATCCCTCATTAATTATTTTTATTTTTTGGGCCGCCTGTCTTGTTTCAACCGATTCTGGCTGCCTTACAGGATAATAAACATTAAAACCGTCAAATCACACACACCCCCTTCCACTGCCAGCCTTTCAATTGGGAGAATTGGACGCCAGCGGTGGCTTCATCGAGCTTGTGACCACGACGGCGGCGTTGTCTCTCTTTAGAGCAGCCTCTGTTTATTTCTGGTAACTTTCCACCTCACGGAACAGGCTGGGAAGGGCTGTTTACCTGGGTGCAGTGGTGGGATGCAAAGGTTTTTTTTTTACTACCGGTTCTGTGGGCGTGGCTTGGTGGGCGTGGCAGGGGGAAGGATACTGCACAATCCCCCTTCCCTCCCCACCCCACTCACCTGCTTTCCAGCTCCGTTCTCCTGGGCAGGGCAACCCAAGGAGACCCAGCCGATCAGCTGGGACTCAACGGGAGGCAGAGAAGAGGTGGGGTTGGCGGGGCCAGTCGGAGGTGGGATTGGCCGGTTCTCCGAACTACTACAAATTTCCGCTACCGGTTCTCCAGAACCGCTGAGAACCGGCTGAACACCCACCTCTGCCTGGGTGATGCTTAGCCGAGTAGCACAGCTAGGCCAACAGCAGATGGAAGTGATCACTCGAGCTGCCTCTGATCGCTGAAACCCGCTTCGGTTCTCAAATACGCACAGGGAGTCCTAGACTTACAACAGCTTTGTTTAGTGACAGATCATAGTGATGACGGACTGCACTGGCGGGAAAAGCGACTTGGGATCTTTTTTTTTCACACAACCTTTGCAGCATCCCCGGGATCAAAATATTTATGACGGTTGTGGCGTCCACGGGTTACGTGATCCTCTTTTGCAGCCTTCTGACAAGCAGAGGTCAACGGGGAAGCCCGATTTGCTTAACAGCCGGGTTCCTGATTCCCTTAGCGACTGCAGCAAGAAAGGGTTGTAAAATGGGGCGAAACGCCCTGAATTGATGTCTCATTTCACAGTGGAAATTTTGAGCTCCATTGTGGTCACAAGTCAAGGACTGCCTGTATATATGGGGGGGGGGGGGCGTTGTTTCAGCACTCTGTTTTCCCGTATGTTTTTCATCTGTACGTGCATCCTCATTTAACGACCCCATAATCCCTTGCTGGGTGTGGAGTCTGGGCAACTGAATGGAGCTTTGTGTTTACTGGCCAGATGCTTTTCCTGTTGCCAGTACGGAGTTTTTATTCAGCAGATATATTCTCATTCTCATATTCTCAGAGAAATATCTGCCTCCACCTAGGATCGAACTCCCAGCTTCCGGACTGTGAGGCGAGAGCTCCACCTTTAGCCCACCACACCACTCCCTGTGCACAAGTATCTCAAAATGCTTTTTGTGAGCTGGCGGCAGCCGATTTTTAACAATCACTTACTCGTCTCTCTCTCTCTCTCTCTTTGCATTCTCCCCTTTGCTTGCCTGACTGCCTGTCTGTCTTGTCAGAATAAGGACAGGGCATGTCTGGGGTCCTGTCACTTAGTAAGTACTACGGGGTCTACTTCTGCCCTTGTCCTTGTGTATCTCCCAACACCCCCTTCCTCCCACCCCACCCCCTTGGTGAAGTTTGAAGCGGGTTGCATGTTTCTTGCTGGTCTGGCAACGAAGGAGCAGGGACAACGTTTAGTGATTGCTTTCCTAAACCAGCATCAAATCTCATATTGCAAAAAAGCTCTTAATTCTTCAGCGGAAAAGAGCTTTGAGCAAAAAAACCCAAAACTATTTTATGCAATGAATTACTAAGTCAGAAAATTATGAAGTCATAAACCCTAACCCTTCAGTTAAAAAAAAAAACAACAACCCTGGAATCTACCAAATCGGTTATTCTCCCTCGTTGCCAGGACCTTCCTGTGTCTTAATTAAAGAAGCTGTTTCAGGGTTTTTTTTGTTTTTAATTAACACGAGGTTTAATTTCCTCTTCCTTTTTCTCCTCTTTCAGCATGGATAAAAACGGGACGATGACCATCGATTGGAACGAGTGGCGGGATTATCACCTCCTGCACCCAGTGGAGAATATTCCAGAAATTATCCTGTACTGGAAACACTCAACGGTAAGACAAGAAAAATCTCATGTGTGCGTCGAATCAGAACAATTTTTTTTTAATTATTGGTCAGAGTCTGGCAAATAAAAGCATTAGAAATAATAATAATAATAATAATAATAATAATAATAATAATAATAATAATAATAATAATCTTAGTAAAACTAAATAAAAATAAAGGCAGAGTGATATATTGTGATTGGTGGTGGATTAAGAGTTGGCTGTTGTAATAATAATAAAAAAGAGTTGGTGGTTAAAGTTTGCCTAATTTTACATATAAGCATAGCAAAATTTGGTCACATTCAGAGGACCTAACTGTGCAGGTATTCCTCGACTTACGACAATTTTTGTTGCTGAGCCGATGATGGCTGCCAATTTTTGGCCATTGATAGGGGGAGACATCCGTTAGGTGAATTTTGCCCCCTTTTACGGTCTTTCTTGCCACCTTCATTAAGTGAATCACTGCAGTTGTTAAATTAGTCACATAGTCATTAAGTGAATCTGGCTCCTCCCGTTGACGTTGCTTGCAAGGTGGTCGCAAAAGGGACGCCTCAACCGTTCTATACATTATCTTGTACCCGTTTGACAAACAAACAAACAAATCAATACAATAAAATGAAATGGAGTCCATGAGGATGGCGGAGACTGATGGGTCCTGGCTGGGTTGCCTTTCAGATTTTCGATGTCGGGGAGAATCTCACCGTCCCGGATGAATTCACCATAGAAGAGAGGCAGACGGGGATGTGGTGGCGCCACCTGGTGGCAGGAGGAGGTGCCGGCGCTGTATCCAGGACCTGCACAGCCCCCTTGGACCGTTTGAAGGTGCTCATGCAGGTAAGGAAATTCCACCAAGGGAGAAGGCGCTTCGGTCGACTTTTTTCACACAATTCCTTCCTCCTGGGGAGTAGAGGGTCCAAAAGCCACCCTATCAATGCCCCCAAATTGGCAGCCACCGCCGGCTTCAGAAGTGGAGGAAACCAAACATAAAAGTTCCAAGTTCTTGGACATTGGCCTCCTGCCTCGCCCTTACATCATTCTGGTCGTGCTTGGCTTCCCAAAATACTAGGCGTCCCCGCAGAGTTGGCGAGCTTACATCCATATCACTTACGTTGGTCTTTACGGATCCAGGCTTGGCAGGACAGTTCTTGGTGGGACAGGAGGCGACTCGTGACTTGGTGGCACGATCTTCCCTGTTGGTGACCAAAGGACAGCATGTCGTGCTTGCGTGTCAACTGAGGAATTTGGACTTTGCACGGAAGCGGCCCAAAGCCGCCCGTCCACGCTTTTTATCAAATTTGGTGTGGATTCAGCTGGCGTGCCAAAGTCCATGTTTTCTTTGAACTTCTTGTTTTTCCCCAAAGCTTCTACTGCCTGGGCTCCGGCATCCACCCCCATTCAAATCATGAGTCTCTAGCTGCCTTAAAAAAAACAAGATTTATTAGGAGTGAACATACAGGCGCTACCAGGTGCAGCCGACTCAGAGATACATCATTCATTTCACCCTTGAGCCCGGTCTTCCCTTCCCCCTGGGATGTATATTCTCCAATGGGACACATCCATAGCCAAGAGTCATCAATTATGCTCTCCAGTAATAATCTTGCGTGCCAGAAGCTTCAGCCGCCTAGCCATTATCTATGAAAGCATTTAAGGAATGCACTACTCCCTTTCTCCCTTTCTGCTGTCAACTCGAAAAGACCAGAGAAATATTTTTTTGAGTTGACATCTACCTTTCTACAGGTTGAACTGTGTGGAAATTGGCTCCTTGGGGCCAGTATTGAGACAAATTGAACCCATAGCTCAGTGAGAAACAAGACGGAAACGCATCAGCGGGTCTCCATCCAAACCCAAAATGGTCTCTTTTTTCTCAGGTCCACGCTTCTCGCAGCAACAATATGTGCATCGTCGGAGGGTTTTCTCAAATGATCCGTGAAGGTGGCACCAGGTCTCTTTGGCGTGGCAACGGCATCAACGTCTTGAAGATCGCCCCGGAATCAGCTATCAAATTCATGGCGTACGAGCAGGTAAGGCGTCAAGGAGCCCAAAGAGTCCGGGGTGATTTGTACGTTTCCATTTTTTGGAGGCCTTTGAGGGAGGGAGAAGGGAGCGATTGATAGCAATAGCCCTTAGACTTATATACTGCTTCACAGTGCTTTTACAGCCCTCTCTAAGCAGTTTTACAGAGTCAGCCTCTTGCCCCCCAACAGTCTGGGTCCTCATTTTACCCACCTTGGAAGGATGGAAGGCTGAGTCAACCTTGAGATGATCAGGATCGAACTGCTGGGAGTTGGCAGAGTTAGCCTGCAATACTGCATTCTAACAACTGTGCCACCATATCAGATAGATAGATAGATAGATAGATAGATAGATAGATAGATAGATAGA